CAGTCTGGGCAATAGTGAGACTCCAACTCAAAAAAAAAAAAAAAGAAAAAAACCTAGGTAAAATAATGAGTATCAAGGAGAGCAAGAAGCAAAAAAAATCAGTCTTCGTGGTCCTTTATTTTCTTTGTTCAGAGGCCACTGTCCTTACAGAAATGTTTGTGCATATACAAGAACATCCCCACTCTTTCTTTCACAAAGAGTAGAACATTGTACTCTCCAATATGTACACATATAGGGCTACCTCTCCTCCCCAGGAGCATCCCTAATGGGAGGAGGAGCTATCCTTGCATCCAGGTATGGTCCTGTCCTTTCCTGCTCAACATTCTCTCTCCAGGCATAGAACTGAGTCCTAGCTGGGCTTGGTGGCTCAGCCTGTAATCCCAGCGCTTTGGGAGGCTGAAGTGAGTGGATTGCGTGAGCCCATGGGTTCAAGACCAGCCTGGGCAACTTGGCGAAACCTCATCTCTACAATAAATCAAAAAAAAATCAGCCAGGCGTGGTAGCGCATGCCTGTAGTTCCAGTTACTTGGAAGGCTGAGGCGGAAGGATCGCCGGAGCCCAACGGGTCGAGGCTGCGGTGGCCGGGAGCGGTCTAAGTGAAGGAGTGAGACTCCAACTCAAAAAAAAAAAAGAACTGAGTCCTTCAGAGACCCTTCCCCACCTGCTGCCTCACAGCCCCTTAGGTCTTGTCCTGTCATTCACCACAACCTCTGTGCTTGCTAAGTGGCAGGCACAACTCTAGACCCTGAGAAAAGAACACAGAATGAGACAAACCCTAATCCACATCTTGCCCCAGGTACCCAGTTTGACTCACATCTGAACCCCCAAGTGTCTGACACAGGCCCTGCCCAGAAACCCCCATCAGAAAACACTGGTGAACAAGCAGGGCTTGTCTGGCTATGCACACTGAGGCTGCTGCCTCCCCATCCAGTTTGACAAACACTCCCTGAGGCCCCCGCTCCTGCTACTTCTGCTGCCTGGGATGTTCTCTGTGCACCCAACTCCTACGCAACTTCTAAAACCCCGTCTAATGCCACTTCCTCTGTGAAGCCTTCCTCAGGTCTTCCAAAGCTGACTCAGTCCCTCCTTTCTTTGGGAGTCCCTCACTGTGGGAATGATTGTGTCCAGGTCTGTCTCCTACATCAGATTGGGATCACCTCCCCATTGCCACCTGAGAGTGCCAGTGACTCATTCCTGTGCCTCTAGGATTTGTGTAAGGGCTGGCACACAGCAGCTTCAGTAAATATTTATGGAATAAATGAATGAATCATTCCATCAAGAGAAGAATGAACATCAGGAAGAGAACAATATTGGCTCTTGGGCTTTGAGGAGAAGGGGAGAAAAGTGCAGAAAGAGACTTGAAGCCCCCAAGGGGGCTTGGGTCTCCTGACATCCTCTCTCTGATTTCTGCCCCCCTGTTCCCCACCAAAGACTCCATCTCTTCTGCCTCAGGAGGCTTCAGGAATTGGTCACACACCACAGGCACTCCCAGCCAGCCAGCCCAGCCCAGCCCTCAGGGCCCCTCGGTGAGGCTGTTAAGAAGTGTCTGGTTTCCTGTCTGCATGCCATCTGTCCCTATACAACAGGCTGGCTGGCTCTTCTCCAGAGGGACTCGAGGTCCATTTTAGATCAGGAGTTCCCTAGGGACTGATGGAACAACTCTATGACTCGCTGCTTTAGTGGGCCTCTGACATCCTGCAGAACCCTCTGGCAACCCTCTCTGAACCTCAGCATCCACAACTATTAGCCTGCCCAGCTTACAGAGTTAGTGAGTAACAGCGGATGCCCAGCAGGCCGTGGACTTGGCCACTGTGAAAAGCGTAGCTGCCTGGAGTTTCCAGCCTCCGGGCCAGCTGCTCGGGGAAGCCTCTTGCTCACCAGGCCCTGTGTGTCACCCCCCTCCCTGACCTCCTGTGGGCAGAGAGGTTGCCTATGATACTGGCAGCCCATTGTGTCTGGCAGGAGGCAGCAGGATGCAGTGGAGAGGGCATGGGCTGTAAGCCTGACACTCAGTTCCACCAGGGACTCGCTCTGTGATCTGCTTCCTTACCTTCAAAAGGAGAAAAATAAGACCAACCTCACAGGGTAGCTGTGAGGTCTAAAGAGTGACATGTAGAAAGGGCCTAGCATAGGGCCTGGTGAAGAGCAGATACTCAGTCAATCCTTGTTGACACACAAAGGCCCCTCTGCCTCTAATTTGGTAAAATGGAGGAGTGGTACCCTGGGGCTATAGGACAATGTCCTTGGCTGGCACTCAGTTGAGAGGTCTGGAGCTTCACAGCAGAGAGGTCAAGACTAAGACTCTGGAGCCTTAGAGACATGGCTTCTAGTCCTGGCTATGCTAGGTATACTTGCTGTGTGACCCTAGGCGAGTCACTTTCCCTCTCCAAGCCTCAGTTTTCACATCTTCAAGATGGATACTAAATAAGTTGGCATATGTCAACACACTCGGTTGGCAAAGATGGCATTCTGTCACTTGTGATTAACAAAGGCTGACCACAGGCCATCACTGGGCGAGGAGCGGGGGTTGAGTCTTTGAGTCTGGCTCTGATGCGGCATCCATACCCTCCCCTGCTCTGACAGTGGTTAAGATGGTGACGACTTGGTCAGAATCTGGGATTGTGGGGTGCAAGGGTCCTGCCCCCACCAGCCTGTGTGCTGTGCCAGCTGAGCCATCCCTCTACCTCATGGGGAGAGCTAGAATTGGTTTGGGCACCTCTCAGGAAAGGCCCAGAGTTCAGGCCCCTTCACTTACTGCACCCCCCAGGCCCTCTTCTGAGAACACTCACCAGGATGGTTGTGACCACCAGGGTCTTATTGGCCAGTGTCTGCGTCAGGTTGATGTCTAGAGTAGTGGCGTTCATGGCCAGGGTCCGGTTAGAGTACCACACCCCGATCTGAGGGCAGAGAGGGTGCTGTCAGTGCAAGCCCTGCCCAAGGACACAGCAGCCTCTGGGCCCACCCCCCACCCTCACCCTGGCAGGGCTCTGGCTTCACCCTGGGTCTGCTCACCTCACGGTGGCCCTGCCGGGACTTCTCTAGGATGCGCAGTGTGTAGTTGGTCCTCTGCCCTTTGCTGTTGAACTCGACTCGCCCGGTCAGCCCATCATACTCTACCTAGCAGGGTGGGGAGGCAGGGCGGAGGGAAGGGTGGCAGGGCCCAGCAAGGCGTGGGAAAGGTCCAGTGGGGATGAGACATCCATAAAGAAAGGCACAGAAATGAGGTGGAGAGAACAAAAGAGAGGGAGAGAGACCAGGAAGACCCGTCAAAAAAGCAAGACAACACGCAAGTAAACAAGGGAGAGATGGAATAAAAGGTAGAAAAAGAGCAAGATCCAGAACGAGAAAGAGAGAGAAAGAGAGAGCAACCCAGACAGGCAGGGAACAGCCAGGAGAGGACAGACGAGATGGAAGAGTGAGGAGATCCAGAGGAAGTCCAGAGACGATAGTGGGGTTGGAGGTGGGGAGAGAGGGCAGAGAGCCGAGAGTGATACAGTGAGTACCCCATTTGAGGTGGCTGCCACCCTGCCTTCTCCACCCACCCCTGCTCCAGGCTCACCATGCGCAGGTAGTTCATGAGGCTGGTCCCATGGGGCCAAATGTTGGCCGACGTACAGGCCAGCGGCTTCACGCCGATCTCCTGGCTGCGGTTCAGCTCTCGGACGGCGCTCACTACCACATGCACAGCGTCAAACATCAGGGCGGCCGACAGCTGGGGTGGGGGCAGAGGAGGGGGCGGGATGGGAAAGAGGCCACTGAACCAGGGGAGCCCTGAAGCCTCCTGTGGTGCTAACCCCAAGTCCTCAAATAACTCCTCTCTCTCCAGAAGTAGAAAACCAGGTGGGACAGGAATAAGGAAGCAGCCTTGGTGTGTTTCTCAGGAAACATGAATGATAGTGGGTAAGGTGTGCATGCTGCCCATGCCTTGGTGGGAGTAGCTCTCTGAGTGTGCATGGCCACGTGTCTCTGAGAGGGTTTGCCTGGACAGCCACCTGTGCCACCCATATGGGCAGGGGTGCCTGGGAATCAGGTCAATGCAGGCTGGGAAGATGGCCACAGTCCCTGTCTGAGTGCATCTGGGACACTTTTATATGAGCGGAGCTGGACGAATGCACCCATTCATATGTACACAGAGTGGGTGTGGTGTCAGGGAGACAGGATGGTCTTAGGTTGGTCTTAGGCCTGGGAGTCGGGCACTGGAATTGGAGGCACACCTTAGCTATTTCCTGACTCTGCAGCAGGACCAAGTCCCCATCCCTCCCTGAACCTCAGTTTCTTCCCCTGTAAAATGGAGCTACTAATTATCATTACCTCCAAGTACTATTGTGGGGATCAAATGACATAAAAGCCCAAAAGCACACAGAACACAGTGAGTGTGCAACACGCCCAGCCACAGAGCTGGACTGATGACTGTGGGCATCTGTGTGTGCTTGAGTGTATAGCCTACCTGGGTTGGTGTGAAGGTCTGAGCATCTGCATTGTGTAGGTGTGCACAGGGGTGCATACTAATATGCCTGTGTCAGGATGCATGACACCCTCAGCGTGCATACATTGACTATATAGCATGGTGTCCATGTATACTTCTGTGCACGTAGGAGTGTCTCAGTATGTTGGTATGAAAGTATATGTCTGTGAACAAATACACATAAATATGCATCTTTTGTATGTTTGCATTTATTCAACATATATTATTGGACACCTACTATGAACTAAGCTGTTTAAGGTGCTGGGGATACAATGGTAAACAAAATAGACAAAAACCCCTGCCCTCACAGAACTTACAATCTTAACATCTATATCTATATATAAGTAGAATATAGACTAAGCCACATGGTGATTAAATAAGCAAATATAAATGCTTTTGGAAAAGAGAGGACAGGGAAGTGAGCTAAAAAGTAGGTAGTTTCCCATTTTTTTAAACAGGAGCATCAAAAAAAATCTTACAACCGAGGGGACACAGGACCTGGTGATGAGGGAGTGAGCCACTTCATCTCTGGGGAAGTACACAGGAGGCAGCAGGAAAAGCACATGCAAAGGCCCTGAGGTGAGCCTGTGCTTGGGGCATCAGAGGCCCCTTGAGACAGGCTGGTGTGGCTGGAACAGCATAGGAGAGGGAAAGGAGGAGGGCGTGGGTCAGACTCATCAGAGCTGCAACACAAGGCCTCTGGGAGTGCTGGAAGGTTCTGAGCATGATCTGAGCGAGGTCTGGAAGGGGCCTCTGGAAGTGTCTGTGCACAGTGTGTCTCTGGGTGTGACTGGGCATCTGTGCTCACCGCAGGGCCTGGGTAGGTGCTGGCTTCACAATTCTCCCTCCAGGACATGTTGAGGCTGCGTACAAACTCAGGATAGAAAGGGTGGGAGGTGTTGAACATGGAGAAGCCCAGGATGTTGGAGGAGTCCTCCACAATACCGTCCAGATGCAGGATAGGGAAGTCCTAGGACCAACAGGAGGAAGTGAGGCCTGGGACTGGGCTCCAAGTGAGGTAGTATCGGTGGGAGGAAAGTGAGGGCAGGGAGGGGTCAGAGGGGGTACGTACCATGGTGGTGAGGATGTACTTGTAAAAAGCTGAGGTCATTCCCAGCTCTGAGGCCTAGAGAACACAGGGGAGGCAAAGAGTCAGTGTAAGAGCCAGAGACGGGGAGAACCCAACAGAGGAAGAGAGATTTAGAGACAGGCCTGGAGAGAAGACACCCAGTGGGAAACACAGAATGAGACCCTCAGAGACAGAAAGAAAGGGAGGGGGAGCCAAGTGAGGGCAGAGGAAGACTTTGGTCCCCTGTGTTCCACCATGCTGACTGGTGCCCCGGGTGGGCTAGGTTTTGTTGGAGGGGAGAATAAGACCCTCAAATGCCCCCTGTTCCTCATTAAGGCACTTAGAAGACTTCCTTCTGGAGACAGACAAGAGGAAGTCTCAGAAACGAAGCTGGGAATCCCGTTAACTTGAATCCCCAACACTTCCCAAAAGCCAAGTTTAGGCTGCTGGTGAGCAGGGTTTTAGTCAGTTATAAGGTCAGAAAAACTACCCCTTGCGATCCTTTTAAATTTAATTTTATTTTTTTGAGTTGGAATCTCACTGTCACCCAGGCTGGAGTGCAGTGACATAATCACAGCTCATTGCAGCCTCAACCTCCTGGGTTCTGGTGATCTTTCAGCCTCAGTCTCCTAGGTAGCCAGGACTACAGGAGTGTGACACCATACCTGGCAAATTTTTAAAAATTTTTTTGTAGAGACGAGATCTCGCTTTGAAGCTCGGGCTGGTTTGAATTCCTGGGCTCAAGCAGTCCTCCTGCTTCAGCCTCCCAAAGTGCTGGGATTACAGATGTGAGCCACCACATCCAGCCTATCCTCTGCATTCCTTAAAAGCACTTTGCAACAGCAGGCAGCCAACTGGAATGTCAAGACTTGTTTTTGTGTTGCCTTTCTCATAGTCCACAAGAACAAAGCTGGAAAACCTCTCCTTGCCAGGAGTGCCCAATCCTGTCCCCCCATGAGAACTGTAACATTAAAGGGCACCAGCTTGCATTTCCCAGGTGGCAGGAGTTGGAGTTGGGCTCTCATCATGTGGGTGTCAGGGAGGAGCAAGCTCAGAGACAGAAGAGACAACTGTTCACTCCACTGGGCTAGGAGGGGCCGAGATCCCCGCCCAGGCCTGCCTGCCTCCCAAACCAGAAACCTCTTCTCTGAGCCATTCTACCCTCAAGAGCCTGATGGGTTCCATTTACACTTCCTGTGAGCTATTATCAGCAGTGACATATGGTTTTAATTGTTTAAAAAAAAAGTGGAGAGAAATAAATGATACAAATTTGATTATGAAGAAAAATTAAGAGCAGGGAAGCAAAGGAATAATTAATGAGTGTGGGTGATTTGTAGACGAAATGTGCCAAGCCTCTGGGGGAAGGTCCTGGTGCTCTGGCCCCTCCTGTGTGCCCTTGAGCCAATCCTTTCCCCCTCAAACCCCAGCTTCTTCATCATGACCTCTGCCCCAAGGGTGGGGTGACAGCCAAATTAAAGAGAACCCAAAAAGATCCTCAACACAGAGCTCAATAAAAATCCTGTGGAGGCTGGGCACAGTGATTCATGCCTATAATCCTCACACTTTGGGAGACTAAGGCAAGAGGATTGCCTGAGTCCAGGAGCTCTGGACCAGTCTGGGAAACATAGCAAAACTTTGTCTCTACAAAAATTTTAAAAATTAGCTGGGCATAGTGGTGTGCACCTGTAGTTCCCGCTACTCAGGAGGCTGGGGCAGGAGGATTACCTAAGCTCAGGAAGTCAAGGCTGTGATAAGGTGTGATTATGCCACTGCACTCCAACCAAGGCAACAGAGTGAGACCCTAACTAAAAAAAAAAAAAGAAATCCTAAGGAGCTAAGACATAGCTAGCACTGACCCTGAGTCAGACACTGCCCCATGCACTTTACCTGCCATTCACTCACTCACAACAGCCCACTGAGGCAAGAACTATTAATTGTTCTCAATGAGAGAGATGCAGTGACTATCTGGGGCCACACAACCAGGAAGCCTCCAGGCTAAGAGACAAACTTCATCTGTATGCAAAAGGAGAGTCTTGATACTCCCTTTTGATGCCTGAGGCCCATGGGCATTGGGTAACTTGCTCATGGGCACTGGGTGATTTGCTCACAGTAAACCCATGTTTCTGTCCCCAGCCCTTTAGGGAATCAGAAGGGGGGGCTCACCTTACGGAGGATGAGGTGGGAGATGGATGCATTGGCATCAATGATGATGGTGGACACCTTGTCATCACGGATCTCCTTGAGCAGTGGCGTGGGGTCCCGACTGTCATCCAGCATCCTCACTGACAGCGTCTCCTTGGAGATGAGGAAGCCACGCACCAGTTCCTCCAATCGCAGCAGGCCTGAGGGAGGGGTCAGGCCTCAGGCTAGAGCCTTTCCGAGTGTTCAGCATGGGGCGGACACTCCTTTCTCCTCTCCAACATGGGACAGTTGGGCAAAGGGCTGGAAAGTGTGCCAAGGTGGAGCAGCACTCCCTATCTCAGCACAGCTGAATCCCTTGGGGTACTGGGCTCAGGGATCCAAAGCTTGAGTCCCTCCCCAATTAAAATCTCAACCTAGACTGCTTCCCAGAATTCCAGACTCCTGCCTCTACCACCTTCCTGACTCCCAACAGGATGTCTGACAGGCATCTCACACTCAACACTCCTCCTCTTCTGGCCTAAACCACGGAGCTTCCCCGTGTTGGTGAACAGCACCTCCAGGCCAAAACCCCGGCTCCTCTCTCTTACACTCACACCCCATCCATCTAGGCCCCACCTTCCAACACATAAGACCCCATTGCCCACACCCTGGCCCAGGCCACTGCTATCTCCTGCCTGTTGCAACAGCCAAACTTCTCCTGAGTCATCCTTACACAGCAGCCAGCATGAGGTAAATCCAATGTGTTCTTCCTCTGCTCCAAACCCTCCAAGGGACTCTCATTTCATTCAGAGTTCCAAAAGCCAAAGTCCTCACAGCCTCCAAGGCTCCGTGCGATCCGCCCATCTCCCTCGTGACCTTCTGGATCTCAGCTCCTCCTCTTTCCATCACCACTGTCACGCTCCTGTCCTGTGGCCTTTGCTCTGGCTGTTCCCTCTACCCAAAACCCTCTTCTCCTATATGCCCACATGGCTCCCTCCCTGCCCTCCTCCAGGTCTTTACTCAAATGTCACCCTCTTAATGGGGCCCTAGTCCATTTCATTTAAAATTGAACCCCTCCCCACACCAGACTCCCAATCCTCATTACTCATGTCTACTTTTTCACAGAATTTACTACTTCTAACCATGTAATGAATTTATTTGTGGTGTTCACTGCCTAACTCCTCTCATCAGCATGTAATTTGACAAGGGCAGGGTTTCCTGACCACTTCACTCATAGTTAGACCCCTAACACCAAGAACAGTGTCTAGCACATAGCAAGTGCTCAATACCCTCTGAAAACCTTAGCATCATGCAATATATCCATATAACAAACCTGCACATGTACCCCTTGACTCTAGGGAAAAAAAACCCTTCCTAAAGAGGAACTCCTTCCAGAGGTTACACAGCATGGTCTCCCCTCTCTCTCAAGCCCCACATCCACAAGTCCACCAGCCTACCAGACATCTCACATGAATGTCTCAAAGACACTTCACACCCAATATGTGCCCTGGATGGATTGTTTTCCCCATCCTCAGCAGAAGGTTGGATCCCCCTGGGCCCATTCCCTCCTTCCCCCACCAACCCTCTTCAAGTCCATCCTGGCCCCTCCATCAGGACTGCCACCCCCGGAACCCAGACCAGCGCCGCCTCTTGCTGGCCTCCTTGCCATACCTCATGTCACTCTCCAGCCCATCCTCTTCCTGTGTCCCCTCATCTATCTGTGTGGAACCCTCTGGGCTGCGATCATCTCCCGCCTCACTGCTCCCACACTAGCCATAGAGAGCATCTTTAAGCCTCTCAAAAGGGCCACACTCCCTAGGCCTTCCACCTCTGTGCCCATCATGCCCTCTGCTAATAACACATCCCCCCCTCACCCCGACCTTTCAGATTCAGCTTTGACGCAGACTCTGAACCTCCCAGATGGGTTAGGATTCCTCCTACATACGCCTAGAGGCCTGCACACCTCCTGGCAGCACATGTTCTACTCTATCACAAAAGCTCAACCACTTGCGGCCTCCACTAGACCTGGATCCTGTGCACCCAGGGACCACACTCAGGGCTTAGCAGAGGGCCTTGATATAACAAGTGCTTAGTCACCATCTGGGGACCAAATGGATCTCTTTTGGGGGGGGGAGAGGTCTATGAAACCAGAAATCTTGGTTTCTGAAGGGGTAAGGGATAGTGGAAATAAGGAGAGCCTAATGCCTGGGTCTCCTGGGTACTGAACGACCATATGAGACACCAGAACTCCTGGGTAGGGGTGTTTGGGAAAAAAGAAAAGGAAACGTCCAATCTTCCTCCCTCACACTCAGCCTTGGCACAGATGAGGCTGGCCGAGGGGTAGTTGAAGGACTTGAGGATTCGGGAGACGGCCAGGCTGACGTCCTCGTTACTGGGATACAGGCTGACAGACGCGAAGCGAAGGTACTGAAGGCGAGGTGTCTCCTCGGGGCCCACCTTGATGTGGGGAATCTGGACAGAGAGGGAGCTTTGGCTTCCATCCTGCTCCTCCACAGCCCTTGCCTCCCAGGGACCCGCTCCCCAACCCTGTCCCACCTGCGTTCCCCACCTCACCTCCTTCTCCCCACAGATATGGCTCACGGTGGAGGCAGATGCTGGGCTGGAGGAGGGCCCCAGGACAGACACGACCCCCTTGGGCAGGATCTGACACACTGCGAGGCACAGGGAAGAGACCAGAGTCAGGGACCCCCTGCCTCCTCTCCTTTTCCATCCCCCAAGGAACTGCCCTTGCCCAGGAGAGGATCCAGACACGGGAAGCATCCATACACGGGGAGCTGCCTGATCCTTCTCCAGCACCTGGGCCTCAGAGAGCCAATCTGACCCCACCCAACACAGTGAACAAGAGGGGGCATGAGACAGAGAGAGACAGGAGACACAGCAACAGAGGGACAGGCCAGACCAAGGGAGAGCAAAGAAAGGGATGAAGAGAAAGAGACTTCAGGGGCTGCTCTGGTCTGCAAATCCAGCGCCAGTCCCACAGCCTCCGTCTTCCTCAACCTTTTCAGCCACGCCACAGCCTACAATGCACTCAACACCCTCTGCTGGCCTCACAGCCAGGTCCCCTGGATTCTCCACACTCTGAAACCACTCTCCTGTCGTATTCACATAATCCTCTTTCTTCTGCTCTTTCCCCTTAGGTACATGTGTGTCTCAAGACTGGGAGGTGGAAAGCTGTTGGTTTTGCCTGTCCGGTGCCTGTTCTCATGGCAGAAACTTAATGTCTCTTGGAAGAACGACCCCTACCCTTCAGTCCACATGGTTTCTACGATCAACTGGTACCAGCTTAGGCCTAAGGACTCACAGAACCACAACCTCTTAGCCACAGTGACTGCTTCAGAGATGGGCGTACACCCAAATCAAACCACCAACAGCCTTCCCTGGGTCTTCTGCTACAGTTATTACTGAGTTTGCTAAACTGGTGAGATGTAAGCTTTGAGCTGCTGAAACCATCTTGCCACCCAGTGGGGAGAACATTCCTGAAAATGAAGCCAGCTCAGAGGAAAGCAAGGCCCAGAGACAGAGATTCCTGGGGCATCATTTGAATGCCTAGATCCAGCCATGCCTGAAACAATCTGGGGACAATGTTTGAATACCTCATCCAGCTATGCCAGTAATGAGTTCTTAGGCCTTTTAGTGACATGAGGTGATAAGTTATCCTTTTTCTTTAAGCCAGCCTGAGTTAGGTTTCTGCTACATCTAACTAACAGCATCATAACTAAATGCCTCATCTTCTTCTAAACTTGTTCTTTCTGTGCCTTCCATGCTGGTGAGGGCCCCATTGTTCACCCAGACAAAAATGGTCCTTGCCTTCTATCTTTCTCCTGACAGCCAATTAGTCACCAATTAATCCTGTCTCTTCTCTGTCCTCAAATTTTCTCACATCAGTTCCCTTCTGTTAAACCCCTCTCTCCTGCCTTAGCTTAGGACTTTCAACTCAGGCATGTACTAGCCTCCTCACCCATCACCCAAATCTAGCCTCCAGATTCTCCTTTCTGAAGTCAGCTCCCTGGTGTAAACCCATCAATAGCTCCCCTCTGCCTGTGGGTGAGGATGGCATCTTTCGCCCTGGCACTGCAAGTCTCTCTCCTCAAGCCATCCTGCCAATCTGCCCAGCCTGACTTCCCACTGCCCTGTCACATTCAGCCCAGAAGTCTCTCATGATCTCCCCAAGAACGTAATGAATCCAGGTGGTCTGGATGGGCTTAACCTTACATCCCATTCCTTGGCTCCAAATACTTCCCTATCTGCCCACCCCACCATGGCTCCAGCCTCTAGGTACAAGCCTGGTACACCACCTTCCTCCTCACCCTCCAGTCCAGCTTCTCCTAAATTGTGCTCTGTGCCACATCAGTCAAAAAAGTCTGAGAAAAATTGCATCTCATTCCCCATTTTGGTGATGTGAAACACACATGAATATAATAAGGCCTGCAGGAAAGAAAACTGTCTGAAACATGCCTTAAGGCAGCATCTCCCAAAGGTCTACAAGTCCAGCACATCTCTTCAAGTGACACCTCTGAACATGCATTCAGCCCATCAGTATTCATCAAACACTTACACACCCCCATCATGTGGCTGGTCGTGCTTGGGGTCATGCCACTGTTTCTATATCCTGCTTACCTTTTCAAAGTTCGCTTCAGACTAGCCTTCTACAGAATACTTTCACTAACTCCTGTCCCTGAGCCTCCTGGCCTTGTTACATGGTTCCCTCGTTATTCAGCTCTAGGGGCTCACAAGTGTCCCCAGGCAGCTGTGAAGATATGGCTGGCTCATCTTCCTAATGAGGTCCTGAGCTCCTCCAGGGTAGGACTGGGGCTTATGTTGTCACAGCCCCACCCGCCTCCCTATGGCCAGCAGCAGTCATTTCTGGGAAGGAGAAGCCAGAAACAGACAGGAAAGAAGGGAGCAGGCAGAGCTAGAAGAGGCCAAGACCAAGACAGAGGTGGGGGCAGAGGAAGAGACTGAGGGCCACCAGCCTGCCCTGCCTCACCCCACGCCCCCGTGGCCCCGCTCACTGGTGTCCGTGGTCTCGTACTGGCTGTCCCGCTGCAGCTCAAAGATGTCTACTTCCACTCGGGCCTTGGCTGGGACCTCGATGATCCCGTTGATCTGCTCCCGGGCCAGGGCCAAGGCCAGACGCTCACCGCGGCCACACACTGTCTGGTCGTCCAGGATTGCAGCTAAGGGGACAAAGGGGTTGGGGACCAGACTCCTGGGTCCTGAAAAAGGAAGGGCTGGGGTCCTGGGCTTCCAAGTTCTAGGGTGAGGGGAGTGTAGGGACTCCTGGTCTGAGGTTGGTGAGAGTTGGGGGTCTGAACTCCTGTGTTAGGTGGGAAGGAGGAACAGGAGGCTGGACCTCCTCACTGCTGAGGAAAGTTGAGAGCTGGATCCTGAGGGACTGGCATGCCTGGGTCCCCAAAGAGGAGTCATGGGGCTCAACGGAAGGGTCTCTGAGGACGCAGGGCAGGGTGCTGGAGGGCCTCACCCATGCGCAGTGATGAGAGCACCTGGCAGCTGGGGCTGACAAAGGCAACAATCAGCAGCAGCAGCAGCTCAGCCGGCATCTTCCTCCCCTCCTCATGGGGACGCAGCTGCCGCGGCCCCCACTCGCCACCTGCAGGGAGACCCCCAACCCACAGGGAGACTGCTGATGTGGGGGGAATGAAGCCTCTGGGAGGACTCTGGGAGGACTGCTGTGGTAACCACAGCCCCCAAGACATTTCTGGTGAGAAGCTCACAGTGCTGAAGGGCTCTGCTCTGATGAGAAGCTCGAGATATTGAGGGCATTGCTAGAAGGAAAGCTCAGGCTTAGAGAGGCACTAGCAGAAAGGAGTTCACAGCACTGAGTGGGACAGGTTATGAAAGAATGGGCACCGCTACCAGAATGGGAGGGAGGCATGCCAAGATCTCAGGTAGGAGTGAATTCCAGGGACCAGCCCCACCCCAATAGAAAACCAGGAAGTGCCACCCCCCCACCCAGTCCCGCCCCTGTCTCTGGGCAGGCAGCCGTCACTAGGCAACAGAAACCGGCTGGAGAGGATGCGGTGGTTGCTAGGCAACCCCATCCCAGGCCTCACTTGCCACCCTCCTGACGTCCCTGGTTCCCACAATCCCAAGGGGAAAGAGGCCTGGACATCCAGGGTCTGGAGGGGAAAGTATCCAGGAGTTAGGAAACTTGTGAAAAGATATGGAAAGAGAGAGAGAGAGGCACCTGTGTGTGTGTGTGCATGTACACACACACACACACACCATACACCCCCACAGTTGGATAGACCAAAGCAGTAAAAGGACTAATTTAAAAAAAAAAGAGTAAAGAGAGAGAAGGGAAGAAACAGAGAGATAGAAAGTAGAAGAAAGTTAGAGAGAGGAAAGACAAAGAGACTCAGAAAAGATGAAAGGTCAAAACTGGCAGAACTACAAGGAAACAGAGATGATAGGAAGACAGAAAAATGGGGATAGAAATGAAAAGAAACAGAGGAGAGTTACAGGAAGCTAAGTATAGAACTAGGAGAGGAAAAGAGGGAAGAGACAGGAAGATACAGAGACATGGAGACAGCAAAAAGATAGAGAGCAAGGAGAGGAAGAGAGAGGAGCAGGTCAGAGAAGGGAAACCAAGTCACAGACCAGTCACAGAAAGAGGAAGACAGAGGATGGAGAGAAGACACAAACCAACTCAGATGCAACCAGGAAGAGCAGGAAGGAAAGACAGTGAGTAAGGTAGGGAGTGAGCTGCCTGCCAGAAGTGGGTGCCATCTTGCTCTGGAGACCTGAAGAAAAGGAGGAGATGGTATATCTTTGCTTCTCACAACTCTCCACCCCCAGGGAATCAGGCACCCTGGCCTTCTTCAGGGCAACCACTGGAAAGGGATGAGTTTGGCCAGATGCACAGCTCTTCCTGGCTGAGAACTGTGCCCAAGAAAAGGGACCCTTGAGTTTCCATCGAATAGGGTCATATGGGGTCCAAAGTGCTATAAAGTGTGCCTGGACGTCCCACACCCCACCCAGTTCTCATGGAAGAAGGGCCCGCGCTGGTGAAACGGCAGAATAAGAACTGCTAGGGAAGAGCTGAGGCATAAGTCAACACTTCTGACCATCTCACGTAGCTAGAAAAACCCAGGCCAGGGCAGCAGGATACCTGATCAGTCTTGTCTCTGCTCCCGTCTCACTGCATGACCTTGAACAAGTCACCACTCTCTCTCTAGGCCTCTGGAAAGGAGAGGCTGGGGTGGGAAGACATGCTGGACGGGTTGGTGGCTGCAAACTAATTTAGATTAAGGTGACAGCTTGTCAAGAGTGGAGAAGCAAGGGATGCTGGGAGACCCGAAAGGAGTGCTCACAAGGGGAGGGGTGTGAAGGGCAGGGTTAGGAAAGAGTCAGGAGTTGGGTGGGTCGCCCAAGGAACTTCTGGGGCAAATCAGGGAGCACAGACTAGAGGATAGAAAACCAAGGGAGAGATAGGGCAGAAGGACAAGGACCCACAAGTGGCAGATACAGGTAGGAGCAGAAAGAGTATAGGACAGCACTGGGGACAGCAGATGAACACAGAGGTACAGAAAGGTACACAGAGAAAGTCAGCCCAAAAGGCAGGAACTGGAACTGAATAAGAGAGAGAAGAGAGACACAGCCTAGACGTAAAACAGGGACCAAGGGGGACAGAGACAAGACAGAGGGTATGAGAGAGCAGGAGCAGGGTGTTAGGCAAGTCCGGGACTCACAGGCCCAGAGACTCAGGCAAAGCCACACAAAGGTCGAAATACAGCAAACAACTGAGGAAAAGGGACTGAGACAAGGCCCTACCAGGGGAGAGAGACAGACAAGTGGATAAAGCAGAGATGTTAGCAAAAATGAGAAGACAAGTAGGTCAGCAAAGGCAAATGGGCCAGGGGAGAGGGCATACATCAGTAAATAACAAGAACTGCAAGGAGAGAAATAGCAAAACTTTGAAAGCTAGGCTGAAAAGTATGTGGAGCTGCACAGCAGCTATGGAAGAAGAAGGGCAAAGGGGAAAAGCGCAACGGAGAAGCACTCAGGGAGACAGGTGGATAACACACTAGGAAAGGGAAAGAAGGAGAGTTAGGGAGGGAAACTGAGGGCACAGGCAGGGATAGGGCGAGCACTAGTATGAGGGAGCAAGCCCACACAGAGGTGCAGCCACCCTGAGACACTCGGGGATGCCGTGCGGGGGAGCAAGAGCATCCCAGGGCCCGAGAGCCCCCAGGCGTGGGGAGGAATGGAGCAGAAAGGCCACGTGAGTAACGCAGACATGGGGAGACAGGATGGGAGTAGGAAGAGCGAAACCAGCAAGCAAGTCAATGTGGACCATAGAGCATCCAGAGTAGATCTGAGGGAGGGACACAGAAAAGTGAGAGGGAAGACAGCCTCCAAGCCCAGAGGTAGAGAGAGGGAGGACAGGTTGAAAGACGGTGGCTCGCACCGGCTTTCACAGGTAAGTGAAGGCAGAGGCAAAGAATGGAAAGAGAGAAGTGGAAAGAGAGAAAGGATGGATGGGGAGTTCTGACAGAGAGAGGGGGGATATAAACAGAGACCTGCCAAGAAAGGGAGGTCTGCTAACAGCAGAGAAGAGAGAAGTTGGGCAGAGTCAGAGAGAGGCCCAAGAGACACATGAAATGGAGACTCAACGGAAAGACATTTCCAGGAGACAGAGACTGGATGCGATGGGACAGGCCCTGGCGGGCAGGCAGAGAGAATGAGAGAGAGGAGGCAAAGAGACAGACAGACAGCAAGCGAGTGCCAGTGTGGGACTAAGACTCAGAGAAAGCAGGGTCAGAGACAAGCCAGGAGCCCAGAAGAAGTGAGGCCACAATTAAGAGTCAGTCAATCTCTTAGGACCCCAGGGGGCTGGGGGGCTGGGGGTTGGGAATGAGCTGTGTACCCAGAAGAGGTGAGAAAAGGTCGAGGGAAATGGAGGCTGGGGAGATGGAGGGCGCAGAGCAGGCCCCTAGTTGGGGAGGGTACTTGCCAGTCCAGGAAGCAGGGGAATGTGGGTGCCCCGCCAGCCGGCACTGAGCCCAACCTTCCAGGACCCAGAACCCAGCCCAATCCCCGCCCTGCAGACACTCACGGATCCTGGTGGGACGGAGGGCTGGGCTCCCTCGAGGCCCGTGGAACGACAACAGGGCGATGCTCTGGCGCTTGAGTGGCTGTGGCAGGGGGAGAGGGCTGTCCACGAGGCCCCCTCCCCCGCCACCGGCAGTGGCCTCCAACTAATCCAAAACGGTGGCTCCTTAGGAGCAGGGAGGAAGGACAGGTGGAAGAGGAGAGGGCGGGCCAGGGAGGGGAGGAAGGGGAAAGGAGAAAATGGAGGAGAGAAGGGGAGAGAGGAGAGGGGAAAGGAGCAAATGGAGGGGAAGGAGGGAGGAAAGGAGGAGAGGAAGGTGAAAACGGAAGGGAGGGGGCACAAGCAAAGCCGGGGGAGGGGGAAGCCGGCCCGGGAATGGGCCCCCCGCCCCCTCCCCTAGCCAGGCCGGCCTGGGGGGGCCACAGGGGGCGAGGACTGGGTGGAGAAAAAGAAGCCAGCCATCAGGAGAAGTGGGGGAGGGGAGGGCCTAATGGGGGAGGGGGCTACCCCCTTCCCCCCTCCCCCCTGGAGCCTTGGCCCTGCCCTGTATGAGGCAAGGGCCCAGAGTCCTCAAGCTCTCAGCCCCCACGGGAAAAGCATGCTGGGGGTGGGCAGAGGCCCAGGAGTGGAGGGGCCGGGGAGGATGGGGTGCTAGGAGACCGGAGAGGCCCGAGAAGGGGGCAGATGAGGGGAGAGATGGGGAGAAGGGAGAGGAGGGAAAGGAGGAGGGAGGGGAGGATGGTAGGGAGCAGGTGGAAGAGGAAGGCGAAGGAGGGTGGGGTGTCCTGGGGGCTCAGCACAGGGCCTCAGTGGGAGGGCCTGGCCATGGACTCCTGGTCCCCTGTGAGGAGCAGCCGCCGCCGGCTCCAGTCCCTG